CAGGTCTGAGCCCTGGTCTTGCTGTGATTCCTGAAACCCCCTCCAACTGCTGCCTCAGCTCAGTTCAGCTCAGCTCAGCTCAGCAGCCTCCTGTGTAACATCTGCTGGTCCCTCCTTGTCCAGGCTCCCCTGATGACCCCTCTGCCCACCCCAAATCTGAGTACAGCATCACAGACCAAGCCTGACAGAAACCTAAGGTGCTTTAATTGGACCACAGCAAGGTGGGACACTGATTCCTTCTTTGTTGGATATGAGAAGAAAGAGATTAAATGAGTTAACTAAGTTTCAAGCCTAGTTAACCAGGAGAATGACATTAACACAAATAGTCAATACAGGGGGAGTTTATTTGAGGGACAAGGATCCAGTTCAACATCAGACATACCAAGTTTCAGAAGCCAGTAAGGACTCTAAGTGAACAGCAAATATAAATGGGATTAACATTCAAGAGAGAGTTAAAGGCCAACATAAAACTAAAAGAATCATTTATGCAAAAGGAGTGGTTGAAACCACAGAACTCCAATCTGGCACAATAATCATTTGGTGCAAGGCTTTTCAACCTGTTTGGTGATGTGCTGGCATTCCCTAGAGGGGCACTAGGGTGCATCCAAATGCCTGGACTTGGGGCCTCAGACCCTGCTTCAAACAGCATAGGGCCACACTGCTGTGATTATAAATCTCAGTGTCAGGGTTTAATTCTAAAAAAATGCAGCTAAGAGAAATACTTGAAGCACTGATTTTGTAAATATTCTCTCTGCCTCTTCTACCACCAAAGCCTCCTATAGTGTGTCTGCCCCTACACAGATACATGGCAGGGAGAAATCGTTAACTTGAATTTCAGTTCTGATAGTGACAAGCACTCAGTACCAGAGACTCTAAATTACCCTCAGGTGACTCACGTGTGATTTAGAAAATATTTTGGTGTTCTAGTCTGGTTCCAGTTAATGGATCAGTTACATGTTCAAACTGGTTCACTAGGGTTTAATTTTTCAAAAAGCTTTGTTTTGTTTCTAAGTTCAGTGGAAAATAAAAATAATAATGTTTGGATTTGATTTAAGGTTCAGCAACTTATATAATTCATTCCAGGTTTTTGCTCATCATTTATCTCTGCATCAACTCCCACTTTAGAAAAATGCCCTGTAGATATCTACAAATCAATACCAGTGGACTGTATTCAAGGCCTCAATTTAAAATGACAAGTCAGAGCCATCCATGATGTCATGGGGTAAACCTCAGCTAACTCTTTCCTTCAGTGCTGGGCAAGACTCACGTGTAATCTCACGGGGAGAAGCTCTCCTAAGAGAAGGTCCCAGAATAAGATACCTTAAAGACAATAGTACCACAGGGATGAGAAATTACATCAGACACAGCTGCCCACTTCAGTGCCTCAAGTTTTATGTGAACTAGCACCTACTGGTTGTTTTGTCTGGGCCCAATTCCCAAAACTATTAGCTAACATCAGGCCCCTGGTCTGTAAGGAGAGCTGAGCAATGTAAACTGCCACAAGCATTCAAGTAAGGGTAGATCTCAGCTTTCCTTTAATCAAACCTCAGATAATTTAAAAAGACAAAACCAAAAATAAACCAAAAAATCTGCTTACAGAGTATCTACTTCTTTTTTCCTCTTGCTTGGTTGACACCCATCCCATAAACAGCTCAAATTAAAAAAAAAAAAATTTTCATTATTATCTTGGATTTTTGAAATACATTCATTTTTTCCAGCTGCAAAATGTCTATATTAAAATGTCTGTACCAAAGAGCTGAATTCCACTGCAGAAAATGTATAATGTTGCATAGAGTCAAATTTATCCATTTCAAACATGCTCATTGACACAATACATCATTTATCAGGTGTGATCCATTTGACTCCTTTGTTAATAATTTCCATAATATCTTGAATTTGGGGGCTATTAGAAAGATTCAGTAGCTATTTTCTAACAAATAGCAAAATCTCTATCAGGAAGGTAGAGAACAGAGGTTGCCACAGAGAAAGTGGTAAATTATTGTCTGGCCTAGAATAATGGGAAATAGAGAAGAGAAATTAGATAGCCCTGGGTTCAAAGCCTAACTCTTTACCTACTTGATAGGCAGACTTGGAAAGTCCCTTAACTTTCTTGAACTTGTTTCCTCCTATGTAAAATGGACTGCCATCAGACGTAGCACATGCTCAATAAACATTTGTTTACCTTTCCTACCTTCTCACATAAATCAGGAGTCATCTGTTCATGTTCCTCCAAATCTTTCAACTGCAAAACATAAACATACATAATGAGTGAGATGTGCACCATCTGGGGGATGGCCATGCTGGAAACTCAGACTTCGGGGGTGGGAAAGGGCATTTATTGAAACCTTAAAATCTGTACCCCCATAATATGCCGAAATAAGAAAAAAAAATTTTAAAAATTTTAAAAAAAGATAAAACTTGACATGACTTATCCTATATAGTGAAACTTGATCTTGCCCCAAATATTAGTGTTATAAGGACATTCGCCTGTCTAATTTATTTATTAGACCATGGAATGGGCCTAAAATAAAACACAGATGATTTAAAAAGGAAGGAATGAAGGAACAAAGGGAGGGAGGAAGAAATTGATAAAGGAAACTATTTTGAGGGATGCCCAGATGTTAGGATAATTTCAGAAGGCTCTGGTGCCCGAGTTCAGCCTAGCAGACCACTGAGGAAAATAGAAAACAGTAGAAAATGCTTCTTTAAACTTCTATCACTGGCATTGTTCACTCTGGCAAATAAGAAATCTTACAAATAAAGCAAAGGGGCCCTGGAGTCAGAGAGACTTGAATTTGAATACCAGTTCTGCCACTGATTAACTGTCAGACTCAAGCAAGTTATTTGCTATTTCTGAGCACTGATTTATTTATAAAGTGAAAATCACAATAAAGTCTCCATCACAGGATTGTGGGAAGAATTAAATAAAATAAGTAAAATGCCTTGCAAAGTCCCTGACACATGATAAGCATTCAACAAGTGATCACTATTATTATCATGTTACCTTACCCTGGTGAATAGTGAAATCCTAGATTATAAAAGTAATTTATAAGGGTAAATGCCTATGTCTCCTGTGTAAAATTATTAAGTATGATTAATGCTTTCTTGCTGATTGCCTCATACAGGCAATCAGCTAAATTGAGTTGGCTAAATTATTTACAAACTTTGAGACTCATTTCATGTTCTCTCTCCTAAATTTATGGAGTGACCAGAAAGAAAAGTGGAATTCTTTATTTTCATTCATGATCGCCCTTATCTTTTGGTTATCTGGTAATATTTTTCCTTAACTGTACAATTACAAAGAAAATACTAAGACCAATTTATACTGTTATTCCACCAATTTTGCCTTTGAAATGAGAGTTTGATGTCTGTGGTTACTTTGAATATCCATTTAGGGAATTATAGGACAATGTCCTAGGAGGACATTTTTATGTCTGGTCCAGAGCCTCATTACTAGACTGAGGCTGAAACCCAAAACCCTGTGTCATTTATTAAAAGGAAACTTTCACATTTATTCTCATAAAGGCATCTGAGAAATGATATCTCATTTTGACTTATTTTACTTTTATGATAACAATCTATGTGAAACAACCTCCCCCCCCACCGCCCAATGTTCAGACACCTTCTCAACCTTGTCCCCGAAAACCTTTTGTTAATTTTCTTTCATCATGGTGACCATTTGATTTAAGGTCACAGTGGAAAAGAACAGACCCACAGCTGCTGATCATGCTGCTCTATCTCCACCTGTATTTTATGAGCCATTTCAGCCCTGACTATGCTAATCTGTTAACATTGTATTTTAGTAAGCTGTTGCTTCCCAAAGACCAAGAATGGTTATTACTGGGACAGCAACCAGTGCAATCAAATATTCTGCTCTTGTATTTCAGTCACTGATTTTCCAAAGAAGAGCCAAGAATATAAATTTTGATGGAAGTGAAGAGTGAAACTTAAACACCCAGAAAATTCTAAAGAGGCAGCTGTAATTGTGTGAAAGTGACTAGCGTGAATCTGTCAGCTAATGCTGATGAGTACAAACTAGCCACTTAGCCCAGTTTTAATTAAGAAAATGACTTAGCCCTAAATTAACTATATAAGATTTTGCTTCATATTTTTAAAATAACCAGACTTCTAATATGAGTGATCCGACCCCCTGTTTCTACTTGGTGCTCACCTCCCCAAACACTGCTCTCTTGGATCCTGCTGCAATGCTTAATGCTGAAAGGAGGATTGAACAAAAGAAGTCAAGAGCACTTGGTTTTCCTCTGTGAATACGGACTCTATTCCCACTTGATTTTGTAAGTAAATACTTCTTGAAAAGGAATCCTATGAAAGGAAAAATAATGATTCTGGTTTCCGCCAATTAAAGTGCATTTAACTTATTATTTAACTTCCTATGACACACAACATGAATCAGAGAATAAATGTAATCAAAATGCTGAAGAAGGTAGGCTAGCCATCATTTCTGAGATTAGAGAATGAGGTTTAATGATTGAGATCTAGCAATATTCTCAGGGAATTACAGTCTACAACTGTAAATGATGAGGGTTTTTCAAGTACCCAGTTCAGGGTATGATTTAAATGAATTGAAGCATCATTATTGGGAGATGCCGCCACAAAAGACCCTCTGGAAGCACATAAAATAGACTTTACCATGGGAGGACATTTTCTGGCTTTTGAATTAAGAAACTTTATGTAACTTCCTGGGATTTGGGAAAAGGAAATCATTCTAGAAAAAAGGAGATGCTTAAATGCCTACGTCTTAAAGAATTCTCATCTAGTTGCTCTGGAGAGAATACATCTAACAGTATTTATATCATAGCCATATATTCATATCTAAGAAAACACACCCAGTTTTAAATTGCTCATGGCTCAAGAATATGGATTACTTTCACTATAAAATCTCTGTATACCTAAATACCTTCTCTTGATATCTTCTTAACAATACCATAGGTACTTGTTCAACTGAAGTTAATTTAATTAATTGAATTTAATGTATATGATGAATACTTTTATTCAGACCACTCCTTTTCTCTAATATCTAAAATGGCTCCTAATCATCTACATTATAAAGTCTCAAGCTCCTTATTTCAGGCTCCAATTAGCTTTCCAAAATTTTGTTCTTTGACTCCTTTCCTGCATTTTTACTTCTAGCCATGTTAAGCTACTCACTGTTCTCTATAAATGGTCCTAAATTTTTCTATATTTGTGTATCTGTTTATATAACTTTCTTCCCCTGGACTTATCATAAATAGTGGGCTCTGTGTATGGAGCAAGCAAAAATGAACCAAAAGCAATTCTGTAGGAAAACCTAACAGGGGTAGAGGGGCTGATCTCTCCTGAATGGAAGAATGCTGAAGGGCAAAGCCCTTATCACAGGTCTGCAGGGCTGGGTCAAGTTCACGAGCAATTAAAGCACCAGCCTACGTGTAGGGTGCGATTTGGCTGGGGCAAGGATGGGAGGGTTGGAAGCATAAGAGACATTGAAATCAGAGAAGACCAAAACAACATAAACATGATGCTTCTCAGGGGAATGAAGCTACCTATATTCCAAGATCACAATCATCCTTATACTGTTATGTAACACTTATTGAGTACCTTCTATATGAAAAGCTTTGTGCCAGACACATACATACACAAAGATCAATAAGACAAATTTTGTGACCTCAAAGAAATATGCAATAAACACAAATAGTTCAAGAAGCAAATGAAAAGTCAAGGAGGAGAGGTGGTGAGTTTGGATTCATGGAAATAGCCAACCTGGAGTTCCCAAGTTGAACTTCCTCATTAAACTTAGGCCAATTGACAGTAAGGCAAAACGCTCTACATACCTCCACACCCTTAAAAGGCAACTCTGCATTAGAAACCAGCACACAGAAACCAGTGCATGTGTGTGATGGTTCTGAGATCTAGAAAGATGACATAATGTCTAACATGCTGCCAGTGTTACCAGACATCACCAGCAGATTCACACTTACTGTTACACTGAGGATAGCTGCTCTGACTCTCCAGTGCTAAGGGAGGATCTCACTCTGTCCCATGTCCATCATTTTGCTTTTCTCCTGCCTTCCATGTAAGAATAATGACAAAGTCCACTTCCCTGAAGCTGCTTTTATGAGACTCTCTGCTACAGTTGAGCCATTTCTATTAATATCAAGACCATGACAAGAAAGGTAGTGTCAAAGGATGACTTGGGTGGGCTGAATCCCCTCCCTCCTCCCTCGCCCAGAGTTTCCATCAATACTCTCCTAGAACACACTGCTAAATAAGCACACTACCTGAGTCAAAATGTGTGTTGAACTCAAAATCAGCTTCACAATAAAATTTATCCCATTATTCCTTTCCAAAAAGACTGCTACTCCTAAGCTGTCTTGTAAAAGAATGATGTAGCCTCTGCTATTGCTGAAATCACACACTGTCAAGTTCTGTTGGTGCCAGTCACAGCGAGAATGACCTTTTCCAAACTCTTTGCTACACTTTGTAGCAAAGCCTAACTGGACCCCAGCTAGGCTTAGGATAGGTCTGGATTATCACAAGTTCTTTCTTGAAAACAGTTGTGCCAGCTTCTGGTCCTTGTAACTGTGCTGACTATGGGCTCCACTGCTGGTTTACAGGGCGTGAGAGGGTAACGACACCATGCCATTCCCTCCCTCCTTCAACTTCCCTTCTCTTTCCTCTCTCTTTATTCCCAAATACAAAGAGAAACCATTACATGTAACAGTAGATGCAAATAGATGCAGGGAGTGGAGATCTAAGCTGCAGATCTTCCAAAAAAAAAAAATATTCCATTACATTAGTGGACTCAACTCCTAAGATCAGAAATGCTGGAATGGTTTTTAGAAAAATTTCATCAAAACCTAATCAGCTTTAGTGTTTTAAGAAGCAAATTACAATTAGCTAGAAAAGCGATTTATGTGAAACATCATCCTTTTCAGTAATTCTCAGTATATGAGACATTATTTAGAAGCAAAGAAACAAACCAAAAATCTCAGTAAAAACTGTAACAGCATTTCTAACACAGAGAAGGTGTTTTCACTGTCTCCTAACGGAAGCTTAACTAACTCTCAAAAGGATGCAGATACCTGAACTTCAAGAAAGGTATACACCTTTTCTGTCCTTCTTAGTATGGTCCTTAGGAGTGAAAATTACTTCTCACTCACTACCCAACCCTCTTGGTCATTTTCCCACTTCAGATTTCTTCCTGTCTGTGACTGATAAACCTCTTAGTACCTTCTGAATTTTCTGGTAAAGATGTCATTTACAGTAGTGCTTTCAGCCTAACACAGGCCAGAAAAGGACTGACAGGTTATTAGTGTTGTCAGTCACAGCCTCATAGAAGGAAAAGGATAGGGGACCCAAGCCTCTTAGCTAAAAGGGCATGAATGCAATTTACCCCACAATCCATGAGCTGATGCAACTACCCAGCTTTTGCCTCTCCACCCGGCATTCTTGGATTCCCTTTTGCTGCCCATGTTAAGGTATAAATAACCCATGGTGGACACTGGTTGGTTGGTTGGATGGACAGACAGATAATGTCCCTTGACTAGAGCCAGGATAGATGAAGAGTAAGAAAGAGAAACTCAAATCTTAGGTGTGCTATTTGTTGCAATTGAAATGAAAAGATTTAGTGAGGGAAAGTGGGACTACCGACTAAAATTAAATGCATGAATTTCAGCTTGTTTTGCCACTCTTTCGGCTAACTAATTTGGATTTTACTCAGAGTTAACTGTGCTAATATAATCCTCAAGCCATACAAGCATACCCTACATAATGGATCTAGATGTTAACTCTCATATGGAGAAAACAGCAATTCTAGCCATAGCTTTCATGTCATGCATGATTTCCAACTTCCCTAGAAAATGGTTTCAGTTAAAATAAAAATATGGGCTATTTAATTTCCATTCACTGCAACAGGTTGACAGTGCAACAGGTTTGGAAGCAGTGTAGTTAAAATCATGAATTATTCTGCATCATCTGGGAGGCAAGACCATGTTACTCCAATGCCTTTATTTCCTTTGAAAATGGGAATAGCATGATGCCTCAAGGCAATATACACATCTCAACACAAAGCCCCAAAACACAAGGCCCTGTCTGACTGTTGAGTGTGTCCCTCTGCCTTTATTTCCATAACAAACAATACCCCTGCCACACAAAGAGTGGCTAGATCAAGGGGAAAAGATAGCACACACAGTGTGCTCTTAAAACCCTTGGATCAAATTAAGAACCACATTTTGATCCAACAGCACAAAACCCAATGCTAGACTCCCTCAAAAGCCAAAGTGAACAGGTGCCATCTTTCTGATGTGAAATCCTGGGGACAAATGCTTAAGAAGGCAAGAGATAAGTTTATGCGTGTCTGTGACCCTGTTGGCCTCTACCCCTTTGAACTGGTTAGCTCTGAGGAATGGGGCCTTTGATGTGGAAAGTCTTGGTCCCCCCAGGCCTGGGGTGAAACAGGAGAGATAGAGGCATGGTGGGGAAGGCAGCAGTGCAAGTCTGAGCCCCATGGAGAGGAGATGTTTTTCCTGCCCCTGCCCCTAGTGAGGCTCCTGGACTGTGATGATGGGAAGGAACTGATCTGTTTTGGTGTATGATTTTTCGGCTTTGGGACATAACAGGAGATAGCACCTTAGACAAAGCAGTGGTCCTCTGCAGTGGAACAGCTGGAAGGAGGCCAGCCATGCCTAGTGGACAAGGGCCTGATTGAGTGAGTGTTCGGCAGCCCTGGAGATGAGCCAAAATATCTGCCAAGGGAGGGCACTTTACCAGCCTGTTCCAACCAGGGGGAGCTAAGAGCCAGCAGCATTCAGATACAAAATACTGATTTGTTTCTTCCCTAACAATAGGCTAGTGAGGCCTGGGGACACACAGATTACCAAAACAAGTATCCAACAGACATGGGATTCTGGTTTGCAACATTTATTATATCAGTTATGCAGGCGCTTATGCATATACATATATACAAAAACACAACCCTCCTCACAATGAGCTCAGTTTTCACACCAGGCATAGGGAAAAACAACAGATGATGTTAGATGAAGCAGCAGTGGAATAGTTCTGAGAGGCTCCATGTCACATATGCCTATAAATTAACAGAAGTGTCATTTGGCATCTTGCAACGTTTTCCACACCAGTTTCTCATCACTCACTTCACAACTCTGCCTTCTGAGTCATTCCTTCTTCATCCAGGCTGCATGGTCAAGCCAGAGAACTAAGTTTACATCCAGATAAGCATTCTGTCTCTTTCACACATCAGTCATTCACCCCGAGTCTATATGGCCACCTTTAAAAATTTGTATTTGGGCATAAAATTATCTTTTAGCTTATTATAATTATAAAGATCACTGCCTGGTAAATGATAAATTATTGTAATTATAAAATTTTAATACTTCAATTATTGCTCATTACCTACTAATTCATAGCCATTAGTACCACAAACATAATTGTTATTAACCAAAAGCTAGAGTTTCATAATTTCATTGACATCACTGTTTTTACAGATGCAAAAGAGATATTCCACCTCTGCAAACCAGTTTGTTCATTTATACCAAACTAATTTTGAACTTCAAACTTTAAATTAGATATAATTTATCTAATTTATTATTTGAGTATTTAATGTGCTTGGAATCTGTCATTCAGATATGACAATAAGTGAGTGTCTGGGTTCTTCCAAGTTTCCCAACTCCAACCCAGGGAGTTACAGCAAATCATTTCTCACACAAAACATCCCTTTGATTTAGGTGAATTATATTTTTCAGGCATATGCTTAAAAAATGTAAATAGAGGGACTCCTGTCCTAATTCACTGCTCCGTGATGTCACTATATCTTGAGGACTTAAATATATATAAGTTCAGAAAGAGAAAGTGCATTCCCTCAGCTTCTTGGTGCCTTGAAGCTCCCAGTGTTCTATTCATCTTCATGTGGAACAAATATGCAACACTAGCCTGCAACTTGAGTGTGCCATCTGGGGCCTCTTTCCAAGAACTATTTTTCTGTATCATCAGGGTCTCTTCTGAGCATTGCTTTTTCTTTTCCTGAGGTCAGAGAAATTTTGCAACACAAGGGTGGGCCGAGAGGTATCTTGTGACACAGCAGAACTTGGACACTGGCAGAGGAGTGGTGAGCAGATTCTTTATCAATATCTCATAACCTTTAGAGGCTATTTTAATTAGATTGATCTTGGGTTTCCTCATCTATAAGGTGAAATTATAGAACAAGAAATTTTCTGAGGTCCCACACCTATTATTCTAATTCTATGGGTCAGTGAATGTAAATGATCTAACATAACTAAAATGAAGATCACGCAGGGCAAGATGGTTTATGAAGAAACTGCTAACCAATTCATAGGGCAAATCCAGGGACACTGTTCTTCATAGATGTTAGAAGAAACCCAAAGCTCATCATAAGCCTGCTTAGGGGTGGTTATTTCTGTCACTGATATACCATTCCCCTTTTCAACATCTTAACTGGGCACGTCTACATGCATGTTTTATAAGATAAACTTCAAACTTATTAAGTCCCATAATGATTTCAGAATTTCTGTCAATCCTGATTCTTCTACTGTTTCTGTTTCTATTAAGAGGTCCCAAAACCATCTTACCCAGGTAACTCTGAAATTTGCTAGACTCCTCTCTGTTCTTGGAAACTCATCCAAACAGAGCTCAACCTACTTATTCTACTTCCACAATTCATTGCAGGTATGTCCTCTTCACCATCAGCACCTTAGTTCAAACCTCATTATGAATTTACACAATATCTAATTCACCCCCTCACCTCTTCTCCCTGTCTTCCAACCCATTCTGTAAGTAGTCACCAGAATTATTTCCCAAAGGGCTAACCAGAGTCTATTATTCTCAACACATTGACTGTCACACTAGAAAAAAAATTATTTCCTTGTGGCCACAGTGTTTTATTACAAAAATGGAATAAAAACTTTAAAAATAAAATAATCCCTTCTAATTTAATGAAAACTTTGTTATTTTTATTGTTTTCTGTGTGTGAGTTATATGAAACTTGAAAAATAGTTCACGTGGCTCTCAAGGTAGAGACATGTGAGTTACATATGCTTCACGAGGCCCCAGGCTGAAAACTAGTGTGAGTTAAATACAACTCACATGTCAGTTAATGTGTTAAACGCATTCAATAGTACCCCTTAATCTGAACATAAAAGTTAAACTCCTAGAATGCTTTTTGAGACTCCCATAACCTGATTTCAACCAAACTTTTTGTGTCCATTTCCTTCTAATCTCTTTCACCTACACTTCTAACTTACTGAACTACATTGTCCTTCCTTTGTTATTTTCCTGTTTTTATTCCCCTCTAGATTGCTTTCTCCATTATCTCTACATGTCTGAATGGACTCTTTTATCAAAGCACCAATCAAATAACACCTCTTCTCTAAAGCTTTCCTTCCCATCCTTCCCTGAAAGCAATCTTTACCTCCAAACACCAACAGTATTTAATCTCATCAGAGGAGATAGATATGAAAGAAATCACATTTCATTTTAGCCAGGAAGTATTTTCTCTGATAGTGGAAAGAACATATGAATTAGAGGTATGGTTTGGATGAGCTGTTCTGGTGTAGACTAAAAAATTGTTGTAGAAACCCTTTCATACAAGCCTTTAAAAATAGTATTAGTCAACCATTTCTTTATGAGTCCTCCAAGATTCAGCTTCCTAAATAATGTTTTTATATGCCTGTAAATCCAAGTAACATTTTCAAATATGGTTTGCTCTTTATGACATAAGCAAAGTCATGTTAGAATAATTCTAGATGATCTGTATTGATCCTTTGTTACATATCATGTATTAATAATAAATATTAAAAGCTTGACATTTATTATGTCATTTAATTCTCATAGCAATCTGATAAAATTATATGATTATCACTATTTTTCAGATATGAACACTGGAACACTGAGGCACAGATATGTTAAATAAATTACACAGTATTAAATAGCTAATAAATGGAAATCCCAAAAAATGAGCCAAAGTAACTCGTCACTAGAATCTACCTATTTGATCACTGTACTGCACTGTCCTTGGTACAGAAGAAAGAACATTGGCCTTGGAGTTAGACATGAGTTCAGTCCTTCTGCTATTTACTATTAGTTATGTGACTTTGAGCAAATTATATAACCTCTGTGAGACACATTTTATTATCTATGAAATAGTTAAAATGATACCTGTCTGACAGAGTTCTTAATGCAAATAAATAAAATAATATCTGTACAATCCAGCCCCAGGCTGCTCATCCTCAGGGACAACTTTCTTCTTTGGGAAAAAGGGGCTCTTCTCAACCTAATCCTAAGTTGTCCATTCTCCTATTGTACGTTCCTTTCTATTCTTCTATTCTCCATAAGCTATCACTCGCTTCTAAGTCCTCCTGGGACATTAAAAAAATGGGACTAACTATAGCACATCCACGTATTGTGGATGTCCACCACCTGTTCTATAAAATATCAGAAGGACCTTTTAAGTTAAATGTTTTCTCCATTTTTTGGTCAAATTCTTGGTTTGCATGTCTTGCAGAATATTCTGTTAGTATGTATGGAGTAAGGGGTGGAATCAGAGAGCAGTGTGAGTATGTATTAATCTCATGGCTAAAAGTGAGAGAGGAAAAGATTTCCTCTTGCAGTTATGTATGTGTCTAGTGCAATGTCTGACACAGAACCGGTGCTCAATAAGTATCAGCTGTCTTCCTTTGCCCCAGAAGGAAAATGGTGCCATGCAACATTGAAATATTTAAAAGAAAAAAAAACCCTCACATTCTTGTGGACTGTGTGTATCACAACTTACTACAACCCAATGAAATGGGCATAAGATGCTATTATCTCTATCAGTAAGTCTCAATACCTTTAAATTTTTTTCTTCTTTACTTGTTTGTATAATATCATTCACAACCAAAAATTAATTCCTAACTCATAGAGACAAAGTTCTCATTTTTAAATAAAGACCAACTTACCAATTTTTCTTTCATGGTTTGTACTTTGGGTGTTGTACCTAAAAACTAATCACCAAATCTAAGGTCACTTAGATTTTTCTCCTGTTTTAATCTAGAACTTTTATAGTTTTGCTTTAGGTTTATGACCCATTTTGAATTAATTTTTGTGAAAGCTATAAGGTCTGTGTCTAGGTTCTTTTGTTTTGTTTTTCTATATATGCATGTTCAGTTGATACACAACCATTTCTTGAAAACACTCCTTTCTTCCATTGAATTGTCTGCTTCTCTGTCAAAGATCAGTTGATTATATTTGTTTGGGCCTACTTGTGGGCTCTCAATTCTGTCACATTGATCTATGTCTCTACTATTTCAGCAGTACCACACTGTCTTGATTACTTTATAGTAAAGTCTTGAAATCAGTTAGTATAAGTTCTCTAACTTTGTTCTTTTTCACTATTGTGTTAGTGATTGTAGGCTTTTTGCCTTTTCATATAAACTTTAGAATTGGTTTGTCAATATCTACAAATAGCTTTCTGGGATTTTGAGATTGCATTAGCTTTATAGATTCAGTTGGGAGGAATTGACATCTTGATATCAAGTCTTTTAATCAATTAATATGGGTTATCTCTTCATTTATTTAGATTTTCTTTGATTTCTTTCATAAAAGAGTTTTGTGATTTTCCACATAAAGACCCTATATGTATTTTGTTAGATTTATACCTAAGTTCTCTTTTTGGTGCAATTGTATATGGTACTTTTTACATTTCAAATTCATTTGTGTATTGCTGGCATATAGATAAGCAATTAACTTTTATATATTAACCTTGTATCCTGTGACCTTGCTGTAATCATTTATTAGCTCTAGTTGTTTTAGTGATTCTTTTGGATTTTCTATATAAACAGTTATATCATCTACAAATAAAAAAAGTTTTATTTCTTCTTTCCCAAACTGTATACATTTTATTTTTTGTTCTTGTCTTACAGCAGTCACTAGGAACTTTTGATACAATGTAGAACAGGAATGGTGACAGAAAATTTTGCCTCATTGTCTATCTTAAGGGGAAGTGTTCAGTTTTTCACCATTAAGTAAAATAGGTCTTCTATACATATTTATTTCCAAGTTGAGGAAGTTCCCCTCTATTCCTAGTCTATTGTGAGTTTTTCTCATGAATGGGAAGATTTCATTTTTAAAGACTCAAACTTTCTTTTTAACTTTTATTTTTCATCTCTGTATGTTTCTAAATTATGCTTATTTATCCGTTTTATTTTTATACTCTTGGTTCCTAAAATGGTATAATTAAGCCATCTGGAGATTTTTATAAGTCTTACTAAATAGCTAGGATTTTGCCCCCAGGTAAAATAAATTACTGCAATCATGGGTAATAACATACAGTAGTTTATTCTAAGTATCTCTGAGATTTGTTTGGAGAAAAACAATCAAGATAGAGCTTCTGTTTTTACAAACATGACTTTCAGCAAGTAAATGCTATAGAAATACACATGAGATATTTTGACATTGGCACTGTGAAAGTCAAATGATGAAAATAGTCTCTAAATAAAAAAGCAAAGATTTCTCCTTTTCTAAAAAATATTTGCTTATCCCTGAGAAACAGTAGTCTAATAGGCTGAGTGTAGAATGAAGATCAGAGTTCTAGCCAGGTTCATTCATTAAGTAGTTGTGAAATCTTGTACAAATCAGATGATACCTTCATAGTTCTATTGTCTCATTTGTCAACTGCAATGCCACCACCACCACCACCACCATGTGCTCCCCACCTAACTCATGGTATTCATTCAGGATGAAACAAAATGATAGGAGGTGAAAACTAAATGCCTTTTATAATTGTCAAGCACAATAGAAATGGAAACCATTACTATTATTAGAAGTGTAAGTTAGTGACAAGGTGTTCTGAGATCCTCTCATCAGATCTTTTATATGTTAAACTCCACCATTAATGCTATTCATTTCCTGGGATTTCAAGTTTTTAGTTAAGCTCCATTCCATTGCTGGAGTAAAAATCATGTAGGGTGGTCAAGACACTAAAGAAGTTTTGAAATATATCACCAATTTAAAATCTGGCCAGATCATGCCAGCATGTAAATGTAGTTATTGTATTATTTTGTCTTATTTTATCTACTTCTTCATCAGCCAAATGTGATGACTGGTCACTTAGAA